TGAGGGACAGCGCCCAGGCCCAGAGTTCAGGCCCCACAACTAGACCCAAAAAACACACAAAAAAAAAAACAAAAAAAAAGCTGGAAATGGAGCTGTGGCTCAAGTGGTAGGGTACTAGCCTTGAACAAAAGTTCAAGCACAGCACCGGGCCTTCAGTTCAAGCCTTGGGATAAGCAATTAATTAATTAATTAAATTGGAGAGAGGAAGTGAGTGGAGGTGTTGCTCAAATGGTAGAGAGCCATCCTTAAGGGAAAAAAACTAAGCAAGAATGTGAGGCCCTGAGTTCAAGCCCCAGTACTGCCACAAACACATAAAAACATTTTTGGAGAGAAAAAAATTGTTCTGAAGATAACTATGTGAAGCTAACATTTTGTATATATAGCTAAACAAATTATTCCTTTTTAGGAATCTATAACTGAGTTAGTTAAATTCGAGCATGACTCTACTATGAAACATTATACTTGCTCAGAATGGGTAGGCCTGTTCCTTGCCCACATTTTTATGAAGGTAAACTCCTCAGTAGATAATCACTCTCATTTTCCCCAAACTTGGAAATGGGGATTATATGACTAGATCACCATGTGCTACCTCTAAAAGCTTGTCTGCATTGTGATCTTTCAGAAAAAGTCTTGTTGCTTTATCCTTTGGTCCCATAAATCTTTTCCCTGAATTCTGTGGCTCAAGTGGTAGAGCACTGGCCTTGAGCTGAAGAGCACAGAGACAGCGCCCAGGCGCAGTGTTCAAGCCCCACAACCATCAAAAACAAAAACAAAAACAAAATAATCTTCACTGCTTATTCTAATAGGTTAAGGAAATGTCTATCCTATGATGAAGGCTCAGACACATACACATTTGCATGAGAAAAGAAATAGAAAATATATACCACTGTGTAAATAAAAGGAGAGTGATTTTTCTTCCCATAGGAAAAATACTCTAGGTGGAAATATTATTCAGAGAATATTATCAATTATATTTTATTTATGATGTAATTTTTACTTCTGGAATTTCCTTTCTGGGAAACTCCATTGGGTGAGCAAAAAAATTAAACCAGATATGTTCCTTCCTGAATTAGTGTTCTTAAAATCCAACTGTGAATTCTCATAATAAAGACTTGTTTTTAGTCAACATATAATTAATAAATAGTACCTTCTTCATGATGCTTGATGTATTGACGTGTGTGTGTGTGTGTGTGTGTGTGTGTGTGTGTGCGCGCGCGCATATATGTATGCACACTCGGGCTTGAACTCAGAGCTTGGACACTATACCTTAGCTTTGTCAGTGAAGGCTGGTGCTTTACCACTTGAGCCACAGTTCCACTTCCAACTTTTTGCTGGTTAATTAGAGATACCATTATCACAGACTTTCCTGCCCAAGGTGACTTAGAACCAAGATGCTCAGAGGTTAGCCTCCTGAGTGCATGGACCACTGCTATTAGGCTTGATGTATTAACTTTGAATAGCACAAAATATTGGCTGGGCTGGGAATGTGGCTTAGTGGCAGAGTGCTTTCCTAGCATGCATGAAGCCCTGGTTTTGATTCCTCAGTATCACATAAACAGAAAGAGCCAGAAGTGGTGCTGTGATACAGTGGTGGAGTGCTAGCCTTGAGCAAAAAGAAGCTCAGAGACAGGGCCCAAGCCCTGAGTTCAAGCCCCAGGACTGGCAAAAAAAGAACAAAATATTGGAAGCCTTGTCTCATATTGACTAGTCACGAAGATCCCTTTCTCATGTGGAAACAATTGAGTATGTTGTGCTTCAATTTCAAAGATTTCCTTAAGGCAAAACTGTATTCATTTGGCCATGTAGTGGATGCCTGTAAACTCCCTATCATGTCTTTCTTAGCCCCTCTTCTTATTTGCTCTGGCTCAGTGAGCTTAACCCAGGCACTATAGTTCAAATAAAGAAAATAGCTTGTTTTACTTTGCTGGCTCAGACACAATCTTTAGCATATGGGGTATGGTTTCCTTTTTTTTTTAACAGAATATAATTAACAATGGAATTCCTAGGCAGTAAATTAGGCATTTCACTTTACTTTTAAAAAGTACCATCAGAATTTAGCAAGGACAAGTCTCTGACATCAAACTGAGCATCTTTCTTAATGGACCTGGTTTGGAACCAACATACCCAGGAGTTATCCTGAAAACTCAGCTGTTGTACTTAGTTACAACTACACAGCAGCTGACTTTACAGAAGGGCCTGGGATTCACCTTCACACAATGATTAAACCATGTAAATTCTTTCAACTCAGATTACCCTGCTGAACTCCCAAATCATTGGCTTCAGAAACACTGTCTTTAAGCTTCAGAGTCTTTGAAGTCCTTGTATGGGAGATTTTCAGTTAATTTTCTACCTATACTAATATATTAATAGTAGTAAATACCCTTTTCTCTCAAAAACAAATCATCCT